TAATTTTGAGAGGGGAGGAGTATGATTTTGCAAGTCTAGAGTTGTAAGTTAAACGTGATTGCTCAATAATGAATTGAAATTCTTGATGCAAGATTCCAAAACTTTTATTTTCCTTTATAATCAAGAGGAGCCCTTTTTATTTATAGAATAAAAGTACAAAGGGAAGAATAGGCCGAGCCCAAGAGAAAAGCTAAATCTCAATTGCATATGAGTAGCTAATGACATCAAATTTGATTAAAAAAAAATAGATTTAAAATGATTTAAAACATTGGCAAAGTTTTATATGCATCTAAAGTCTCTAGTGTTAAAATATAACAACTACAATCACTTTCTAACCTTTATTTATAACATACCACACAATAATACTCTACCGACTTTTATTGAAGATAGTTTTATAAACTTTCACCTTTTCTAACTCTTCTTAAAAACCATTAAAAACCTACTCAAAAAGTTCTTTCTCGGACGTAGGGAATACATAATATTCATTTCGTGGCTATCTTTTTTTATTTCTAATAACTTTTCCAATAAATGAAATAACAGAGAACATCCAATTATGTTTTATACTTTAATACATACTCAAAGTGTGAATATTATACCGTATAAAATTAGTGTGTACACATTTACGAGTTACGGAGTATATAATGCTCTATAGACCTACATGGCTACACGAAAATGGGTACATTCAAATGTACAATATAATTTGCTAAATTCCTCCACGGCTCCACTCAAACGGAACCTTTGGAAATTCAAAGGATTCATTTCATCCATTTCAATCAAATAACTCCTACAAACGGGCAATAACTGTTGACTTACACAAATAATGCCATTTTATTTTAGTCAAGTACATATAAGATGTAGGCATGTGGCCATTAACTATAAAACAATGATTTTAAACCCGGACCGGACGTCAAACCCCTGAAGAGGCCGGGTCCCAGTGGGTTTTTGCGGGTTTTGGGGGGGTTGGACCGGACCGGTTACGTGTCCGGGTTGTGGTTCAACCGCCCGGTCCAGTTCGGTCCGGGTTATAAAGAGTACCAAATCCAATCCATGCCCTAAATTAAAACTTTTTATCCAGAAAAAAAGAGAGGGTAAAAGGGTCAAGTTACTTGGTTGGCATTCATGTGTATAACACAGCGCAAACATTTGCCTTGCATCATCAAATCAAACGCTTTGTTTATGTCCTCAAATGGCAGATTGTGGGTTATCAGCTCATCAATCTGGATTTCCTGCATTTGAACCCCAACATGATTTAACAAACAATTTCAACTACAATCAATCCTACTAAGGCTCGGTTCTTTTCAACTCACTAAGGCCCGGTTAATTTGGATATTTCTAAAAAACCTACTAAAGGCCAGTTTCTTTTCAACTTAATTTTAACTGGAGTAGGGTGTAGATTCTGGAAATTGGTCACGGGAACCTGGATTAAGGACCTAAATTTTTTACTTTATATTCTAGTTATCCAGATTTCAGTCTCATATCTCCGGACTCTAGACTCCACTGGAGTCTAGTAACCAGAGTCTGAAAATCTGGATAACTGGAATAAAAACTTGAAAAGAACATGCCTAAGCAGCTTATACACCCTCAAACTAATTTGCTTCTATGAAATCTCAATAAGGTCCCACAAGTGGCGTTTGAGGAGGGTGGGGTATACGAAAGACATTATCGAATATGACGTTTTGAAAAAGGCCTAACGAGTTTTAGAACACTTGTGTAAATCAAAGCCTCTAGTTCTAACAATCTAAGAACAAGGCCTCTGCATGAGTGCTAGTTCTACCCAAACATGAAAAATGCAAATGCAATAATACCTTGTTAAGGTACATGTCAACTAATGATGGGATGTCAGACTTCGGTTTCCAGCCACCAAAAAGAGATCCTGTCAATTTTCTGCCAGCAAGAAAAAACCGAAAGTGGCCGCTTATTTCCAGCTTTGTCTTTGGGACTCCAAGAGTTACAGTCAAGCCCCATCCCTAGTTAAAATTGAAAAGAAGGAAGAATGTATGAGCTAAAACAAGAAGGAAATGTGTTTGGAAATCTTTGGAAAGAGTATGTATAACAGGTTCTCCGGAACTAACATCGCAGCAAGACTGCAATGCAGTGGTCACCATGTCTGTGTCTCCTATACATTCAAAACAGAAGTCTGCACCTCCATCTGTCATTCGTTTTATCACCTGGAACCCGGGATAAAAGACAAAATCCACGATTCTAGCATCAATAGAGAACATAAAACAGGGGTTTCAACATGTGAAGTTTAAATACATACCTCTTGAATAGGTTCACCAGTGTCATTTGGGTTTAGAAAGTCTGTTACTCCGAATCCCTTGCCTGTAATAAATCAATGAGAAACCACATAGGACGTCATTCACCAGAGGCGCTTTTGCAGAATGTAGTTTTGAACCATATGTATATGTTTAACCTATTTCCTTCTTTTGTGGATTAGTGTCCACACCAATTATTTGAGAAGCTCCCCGTAGTCTGGCACCTTGGGCTACCTACACAAAGAATGAAGCCATGAGCTATAAAGAAATAGAGTCTATGTATGAAAAGTGTGTGTCCGAATGAAAAGGGCATGTTTGATAATTGATAATATAAAAAAATTATGTACACAGTACATTTGTGATTAGTAATAGTTTGTACCTTGACAAAAGGCCAAAAACTTAAAAATTGTACTTTATATACACATTACTCTTTTTAGGTAGGAAAAGAGAGTAATATAGGGCATATGATAAACATGAACTCACGCAAAGGCCCACAGTTCCAAGACCAAAAATAGCAACTTTTGATCCTTGAGGAACATTAGCCACTTTCCATGCCGCTCCAAGACCTAATAATTGGGTTGCAATGGTAAAGCAACACATAGCATCAGCACCCAAGAAATTCTAGCAACACAAAGGCAAAAAAATATAAAAATGCTGAAATAAGGCCGGGGAGGACGATGTACATGATACTGATAGTGACATACGCTTTGTTTGGGTAAAACATTTTCAGTTAGCATTTTATTATATTTTTTATGGTGCAAATTAACTTTGAAAACACTAAAGCTAAACGTTGTTGTTAGATGGCCTTTTCAAAAAGCTAGAGCTAAACATTGTTGCCAAACTGGCACTCAAATTACCTGCAGCAGCACCACAACTGAGGATGCAGAGCTTCTCCAGGGGAGCAACAGGATTGACCTTGACAGCACAACCAGAGTGGACAACCGTAAACTCACTGAAACTTGAAACTGCACAATAATGATACACTTGTTTCCCTTTTAGAGAGAAGCGCGTCTTTTGGTCACTGTGCATGACTCCTCTGTGTTCTAGTCCAAGAACTTGACAAACATTGCTTTTCCTCGAGATGCAATGTCTACACTTTGCGCACTCCCCGGTGAACAATGTGAGGACATGGTCTCCTTGTGCAAACTCTCTCACTCCTTCACCCACACTCTCCACAATCCTTGAAAAAATGAAAAATAACTACTATGGGTACTTGGAATGGCTTAAATAACACTCAATCTTGCACTCCCTTCATCGCCCGAAAAGTTAAATTTTCTTTTTTTAAGTTGTCCCAAAATAAGCTTCCAACTTTTTATTTTCCTATTAAAGAAACAACCTCAAAGTTCTTTTGACGCTAGAATTTGGTGTCAAGGGGTGTCATACTATGACACCTAACCCCCATGGTGTTTTGTTGGGTCTGAAAGCTGTTCATATCCCCTACACCCAAAAACTCCCTCTCCATCCCAAATTCGCCAAATTGTCACCGTCAATACTGTAGCAAATCAGCACACACGGAGGGGTGTGTTAAGAATAATTTCTACAATTTGCTACAGGTAATGCCATTGCAAATCGGCAAATATGGAGGGGGCGGGATTTAGGGGATAGGAACAAATTCTGGACCCAATGGAGCATTGCAGGGGTCTCAAATGGCATACACTTGGTATGAAAGGAGGGGCAAATAACTTCTACAGCAGTTGTAATAATCAGTTAAAGGAAGATCCGAGAGAGAGAGAGAGAGATGCAAACCCCGATGCTTCGTGGCCGAAAATCCGAGGATAAAGGGGGGAAGACCGGGGCTGAGAGAGCCAGGCTGTGAGATCACTGCGGCAGAGAGAGGTACAGACGACCTTAATTCGGATCTCCATCGGCTGCGGAGGGCTCACCTCCACCTCCTCCATCACCAGAGCCTCTCCCGGACCCCATGCCACCGCAGCTGCAACACCGCTCACAACCTCAATCGAGCTTCTTCTTTTATATAATGAATTGTTGAATCAATCGATCAATCAAGACATTACATCAATCGAGGTCCTAGGGTTTTATCATCTATCGACGCTAGCAATCCAGCAAGTAATTTAGGGGAAAAAAAAGAGGGGGAAGCGGTTTACCTCTGCAGGTGATTACGCCTGGTCCTTGTTCGGCAGGAGAATCGGAATGCGGCGGCGTATCCATAGGTGACTTGTCTGGTACGAAGAAAAGCTCAAAGTCTTCCTTTCAGACCAGTTTCCAGCTCTGCATTTCTGATGATGATTAAGGGGTGGTAGGTGGCCGTGGCGTCGAGGTTGAAGAAGCCACTGGGGGGGGGGGGTAGTTGAGCATCCACAACCGTCGTGGATTTGAATTTAGTTTGACTTGTGTTCAATTAGGTAAGAGTAAATTTTTGGTATTCAATAAATATGTGTTTTTTAAATTAGTCATCAAAATTAATTAATTTATAAATTGTACTCATCCATTAAAAATAATATTTATTTCAATTCCCGGACTAATAGAATAGTACTTTCTAACTAAACATTTTCTCAAATTAGTCCTTCTTTAAAATAAAAATACATTAATAATGAAAAAATATTTTAAATTTTATAGGATGCTAATAGATAACAAAACACTATAAATATAATTTGCTAAAACTCTCACGGAAAACTACAGAACACTGTAACACTAAGACCTTTGGAAACAATGCTAGCAAATAACGTTACCATTTTAAATAATTTCTTAATAATACATATTAAATTTGAAACATTTACGTCAAAAGCTACCATTGGATATCAATTTTATAACGCTAAAACATATACCAAACGAAACGAAATCCAATGAAAAACATGATTGATCAAGCTTCATATATATAGTGTGTGTATATATATATATATATATATATATTTGTATAAATCATTCAGTTGTACATATATCAATCACCAACAACTTCATAGATTTGTTTATTTATTCAAAAGAAAAAAACTTTCCTATCAAACAATTAATTGCAGGTGCAGTGCACTTCTCTTGAATGGGGGAACACAAAGAGGCCATGATGAAAACCTTTCAGTCTATTATAGTGCCAAACATTATCTATCATATCTCATCACTCTTCTTCTTCTTCACCTTCTCCTTCAAATCCATGACTACAAGAAGCAATGCAAACTCTTCTATCTTGTACAAAGAATCAAACCCAAGTTTCACACGGAAAATGATCGAAAAGACCGATCAATCGGGGAAAAAAAGAGGTCGCCTCGTGATAATCTTTGCCTGCTTTGCATTTAGAAGACTCTTTTTTTTAAAAGTAATGAAATGATAATTTAACCTTTTATGTTGTTGCTTCATCACTCCATGATGCGTCGATGGGAGGAAGATGGTAGTCGTCGGGTTTTAGGGCTAATGCAAAGTCGGGCAATGGTGGCGCTGTCTCCATAACCCTTAAGTAACGCGGTCAAAAAATTATTCAAATTAGTGAATAGTACAGAGGATAAATATCAAAGCCCCCCCCCCCCCACACCCTCCAACATCGGGGCCCCCAAATGGCCGGTGCCATTTTATGACACCCAAACCCGGGGTCAAAAGAACCAAGCAGTATCACACCAAGGTTTTTTTACACAACATTTGGGTGTCATATTATGACACAGAGTTTCTATGCTGCGTCATTGGCCTCCGAAGCGGTTTCTTCCCTCCCAAACCCCCTTGCCTGCCTCGGCTATCGCCGTAACCCCCTCCCCCCCAATTGCTGAGGTAAAATGGAGAATTTGACGGGGGGGGGGGGGGTGTGGGGTAGGAACTACTTCAGGATCCAATGGAGCACTGCATAGACCATGGTGTCATAATATGACATACCCCTTAGTGTCAAAAGAACCTGACCCCATCATTCAAAACACCCAACACTTACTTTTCATAAGAGTAACGATCCCTGTTGGTTCGCGCCTTGCTAGAAGTGTCCTTGGGAATCTTCTCGCTGAGGTACTTCATCGTTCCCCACAGAGGCGGGTTTCTGAGCAAATACAAGACTTTAGGCAAAAGTTTGCTACTTTTGAGAGCACCGGGAGAGAAAATTTGAGAGCTGGGGGGCATTCGAAAGATTACCGAGAGAGAGGAGCAACGGCATGGAAATCTTCACATGCCTTTTTACTTTCTTTGAGATACTCATCTGCTGCTTGCAAAGAAGCTACGGCCACTCCATGGGACTTCTCTGTATTTCCTTCGTCAAGAATAAGGCCATGATAATAGTATGCCGCTGCCTGGATGAAATACAGAAGATTTTGATTATTTTGCAATCCAATGAAGAAGACATTGTTACTATTAACAAAAGGAAAAATAACACGTGTTCTGACAGAAGCATTGCATAGATGAAAATAGAGATCGAACAGATACAATTTCAAGTGTTAGCATAAACGGATCATAAAATACCTTAGCTTCGATGTATTTCCACTTCACGAAAAGCCGATGTTTTGCTCCCCATCCATGGGATAATGGAAGATTCATGATGTTATCTTGGGCCTACATAGAGGAATGAACTTTGTTTTTCTTGATTTCCCTAACCAAAACTGATAATATTGTTGAAGGGATACATTTGGATTACTATATCCTTAATTACAACAAAGAGTAGAGTATAAGAAAGATAACACACACACACACACAGATATGTGTGTGTGTGTGTGTGTGTGTATGCATTCTTACTTAAAATAATTAATTCCTCGTTACTCCACTACTAAGCCAAACATAACGGCACTCTGTGATTGTCAGTGATGGAAGAAAGAGCATTTTTTTAACTAGTAAAGATGCTTGTTTTTGTGTTCGGTTAGTTAGTTTTTTTTCTCTTAGCAATGCGTTGTCCAAAGCGCTCAAAGGAAGAGAAATTTTCATTAATTGATTATGGTTTGTTGTGAAAAGACAAGAATGTTGTCCGAGATGCTAATTTTACCAAGACTTTGTCCAAACTGTGGGATTTTGTCAATACCTGTTGCCAATATTTGACCATCTCACATGCAAGCCTTCTTTTCACGGCAAGAGTGGCCTTAGCACTGTCAATTGCAAGCCCAAGTTGTATATCGACCGCCTAATCAAACATAAATAGAAGATATTATATATATACACACACACACACACATACATACACACAAAAAACATAAGCAGGATATTGTATCACCAGATGTAAAATTGTCTTGTTTGGTTGTGTTTTATTGAAGGATATATTGTGTGTTTTGAAATGTTGTTAAAAAAAGATGGACAAAATGAACAAATACCTGCCCTAATGCTTGGAGGCATAGTGCTCTAAGCGCTCCTTCAGCAAGGTCAATCGGTAAATTTCTCCTAAAATTAGAGGATGATAGTAAAAAAAAGGGGATCACATATAGGGAAAATCATTCAAACACAACTGATGTACTTCCTTTGTCCAGTGTATTTCTCCAGTTTGACTTTTTTTAGCGAATCCGAATAAACTTTGATCATTAGTTAGAAACAATGTCTTGATCAAAATTTTACCTTAGTTCAGAGGTAAACTGAGGGAGAACATGTCTCACGGCACAATCAAGGTATCCCGCTGCCTTAAGGAAAATATCAACAGAAGATCGCCGACTTTCTACATCATTTACATGGAGAAAAAAAACTTAGAATAAGCAGAGAAATAAGAAGAGATCAAAAAAACAACTGCGAATTCAGCATTTGTTTGATGGTATATTTTGAATATTTAAGTATTTCTCGTCGAGATGTTTTAAGAATAAATAAGAAAAATAATTAGAAATGCATCGAGTCGGTAAACGGCAGTGTCACAAAACAAGTTGTGGCATTATTTTTGACATATTAAGAGCTCACCTTCTGATACCCTTAGCTGAGAGCCATCAAAAGATGTTCTTGGGAGTAGTAACAAATTAGCTTGAGATAAAGAAAGCATTGCCATCAAGTGCAAAACGGACAATGCTTCATACCAAGAACTACATATTGCAGTTTCCTGAAACCTCAACAATAAATATACACCCCGTCAAAGAAAAACAATTCATATACACTAGGATAAATGTTCCTCATAACAACAAACCCAGTAAAATGCCACAAAAAGTAGGGTCTTTGGAAGATGTGTGTAGGCAGACCTTACCCTACTCAGAAGTAGAGAGGTTGTTTCCAAAGAAGATAAATGTTCCTCACAAATAATAATCATAATAATAATAACCCCTCAAATAATTGTAATAATAATAATAACAGTAATTATTATTATTGTTATTATTATTGTTGTTATTATTATTGTTATTATTATTATTATTAGGCAAGACTGACCTCGACATCATCCTCTTGATTGACCCAAGCAAATTGTACTTTATGTTGTAGAGGGCTACCTGCCATTTTCAAGCAAGCAAAACTTGAGGACTAACTTTGTTTTAAATAAGAATAGATACTTGATGCTTAAATATGTTTTAGAAATGGACAATCACAATATCGAGTAGAGTCTTTTTTTTCGTTTTAGGGCCCTAAAACCTGTTTAAACCTCTTTAAAATTTGTGAGGAAAGCCCACGACAGAGTTCGTAAACGGGGGTTGAAGGAGGACTAAAAATAAAATGTCGTAAATAACAGGGATGAAAAACATACTAGGGAGTTTTTTTTCACAGAAATATAAAACAAAACTGCCATATTTGCACGAAACACATATTAACGGCTATATGTAACTCAAAGCAAAACACCCCAAATAGTGTACCGACCGTCTTTAACCAGTCCCAAAAGAACAGGCAAGTAATCTTCAAGAGCCTGAAGAAGATCCCCCAGCGTTGAACCTCCTGCATAGACAAGCTGCTGATGCATCAATATCACATCCAATCAAGTGCATTAACAAAAAAGAGGAAAAATTTGTGCCAATACTCCGAGAAATTTGAGATTTTTCAAGAATATTCAAAGATTACATACTTATCACCAACACTTCAAGAAATTCAATATTTTTACAATATAATCCAAGAGAATTTTTAGTTTACATGAGTGCCCTGATTTTTATGGCGTATTTGTAAAAATCATAAATTTATGGGAGCGCTGGTGATAATTGTGTAATCTTGGAGTATTCATGTAAAATCTCAAATTTCTAGGAACACTTGCATGAATTTTTCCAAAAAAAAAAAGAACCTTTAGAACTCTACCGTGTTGAGTGGCACTTTTCCTTCTAGTTCTAGTAATTGTCGGACCTTCTTGCCCTGCCATAACAACAATTCTAGTTCTGAGAGCAGAAAGCCTCTCTACCAGACTTTTAGACAGGTGGTTGTCAAGTGCCATAGAGAAATCCACTGGCTTAGGAATCCTTAGTCCAGGGACAAAAACGGAAACGTCGCCGATATTTATTGGCTTCCTCTTATTTCCTCCAGTCTCCGTTGGCGTTGACACAAGGCATCCCATATCTTAAAACCTTCCCTCAATCTCCCCGGTCACTACAACTAAAATCAATTTCAGTTTTTGACCCAAAACGTGTCAAATTGTACATAGAAAAGCATCACATAAGAGCTT